TGTAAATAGCATCTATCAAGTACAAGTTCAATTCCACTCGAACGCTTCCACTTCCACGTCATACAGTCGATTTGAGCGTGTTCACGAGGCAGGAACGAAAGCTTAGAATACACCGTCATGCCTCGTAAAACATAAGTGTTTCTTATCTTTATTCAATCTGTTTGGAATTCAAAACGCTGGCGGAAAACAACTTTTTTATGAAATATTCAATTTATAAAGCGATTCGATCGATGGTGTATATATATATATATATATATATATCTCGATCAAATTTGTGCTTTTACTTATGTAATATTCAAGTATGACTAACATATAGTCTACCTGATAGTAAGTGGATGCTGTGGCCCATCTATTAAGAATCAAAATGTAGATACGTTTTCACCCCTGAGCACTAAGATGGAATGCTCGCTACCTAGTAAATAGCGTCTCCGGTCTTATTTCACGCTATGAGATCGTGGTCTTTCCCGGACGAGCCAACCAATTTGTAATACAACCAATCGGTTAGTCTGGTTTTACTGCGGATATCTTCTATCACGTAGAGAAACTCCGAGCATAGCCCTTTCCATAACTCGCTGAGGGATGTTAAGCATTCTTAAGCCGCGTATCGATTATGCGCCCCAAGAGGTCGAACATTGGCGCGCGTTCTAGCCGCGCGAAATGGATACCGCCTTGGAACGCGCGCCAAATTGTTAGTTGGAACGCTCAAACGTGGAGCGGGCCGTTCCATCTTGTGTCGGTTTTTTGCCGCGTACTCGTATCAAAGTAGTTAAATAATGGCGCGCGTGCCATTTAGGACGGTTGTTTTCATCATTCGTGTGTTCGCTGCGTTTCGAGCTATGGATAACCACAGTTGCCGTAAATTGATAAAATTATATGGTTCAAAAGAAACTGCTGTGATAATGATTATGATAACAATGTTTACTCACACATCACAACTGATTTATTTCATTAATCTATATACCGAGTATTACAAAATTACCCGTAAAGCCGAAAGGAGGTTAAATGGGGCCTTATAACGAGTCCATTCACAATATTTAAGAACCGTACTAACGCTGTACAACATACCCAAAAAAAATAAAAATAAACCCTATTTCAGTAAAATTAAAGAGTAAACTACGCAGAATGTACCTACATTTCTACCTAATTCACAGAACGACAAAAATTTTAAAAGACCTAACCTACCGAAACAACCTAAACGAACACTTACTTTTTCATAATCAACGTCAAATTTACAAAAACGGCTCAAAGTGTGCTCCGCCTTGCACAATACACAATCTCGCTCGTCAGGAAATGGCTTGTGTGGCATTTCGCACCATCGTCGGTGTTATTGATGCGAAAACCCATCTAACACGCTGTTCCATCTCGGCAACCGTTGGGCAATCGGAGAAATACACTCTGTCCTGCACATAATCCCACAAAAAGAAGTCTAAGGGTGTGAGGTCCGGAGAACGAGCAGGCCATAGCATCGGTCCCCCGCGGCAAATCCATCCTCACGGAAAGCAAACCTTGAGATGTTCTCGTACGTTTTGAGCATAATGTGCCAGAGCTCCATCATGCTGAAACACCAAGTTTCTTTGGTTCTCAAAATTATCCCAGTCAGCCACAGGAAAGTCGCCTCTTCGAATTCCGTTAGATAGTTGCTACCGTTCAGACGTGATGGAATAATGACGGGACCGATGATATGCCCGTCATAAAGCTTAGCCCACACATTAGGCCGCCACTGGTGTTGAAATCTGCCCTGCCGTGAAAAGCCATGCTGCAGCTATATAAACGTGGTAGAGCCATGCTGCAGCTATATAAACGTGGTAGAGCCATGCTGCAGCTATATTTCTGGTGTAGTTGTAACACGAATGGGTTAGCTCGATCGGGGAAGGACCACACTCTCACAGAATACCAGCGTAAAATAGCAGCTTAATGCTGCTGTGTTTCGTATGGTGAGTGTAGAGAACCGGAGATCCTTTTTACTAGAAACCGAGGCATTCCATCTTAGCCCTCACGGGTGACAACTGACAACGCATATGCATTTTGATTCGTAATTGAGGATAAATGTAGATGTCTATGGGCTACAACAACCCCTTAACATCAGGTCGACTGTGTGCTCGTTCGTCACCTTTATGCTATTAAAAAAAATGTGGATTCACGCAAGCCTAAACGTGATCGTTATGCATATTTGAAAGTCCTGACCTCGTGAATGTTGCCTCGTCCGTCCAAAGAACATAGTTTACGTAATTAGGGTTTTCCTCTAACTGCCTAAGGTACCATTCGCAGAAGTTCCTTCTGAGTGCAAAATCGGAGGGTATCAGCTCCTGTGTATGGCGATAGTGATAAGGGTGACGATTGTCGTCACGAAGAATTCGCCAAAATGCAACATGGTTTATACCGAATCTTATTCCGGCTCGCCTCGTATTTGTGGTCGGCTCTTCTTCAAAATGTTCTAACACTAATTCAGCCTGCCTAGCGTATACTGTGCTTCGACGTGCACTTCCAGTAGATTGATGAAAAGAGCCGGTGAAATGTAGTCGTACAGAAAACACTAGTACGAAGGGAGCGGTCGCTGTTCAGTGGGGTTCTACCACTGATAAGTCGTTGCCGATACAGTTCGCGAGCACGATTTAAATTGCTATCTTCATGGCCTACGCATAACATCATATCGTAATATTCCAAGTTAGAAAGCATCGTTGTTTTGCAGAAAATGTTGGAAAAAAAAAACCTCGAAACACTTGTAGGATATCGATTAGAAGATTTGAAATTGACAACATTTTTTTTCCAACTTGACATTTTTGAAGTCAGTACTTGAGTATAATGACATCCTTATATTGAGGTAGCAAACATTTATGAATAAAAAATAGAAAAACTATTAAAGTAGACAATTAGGTATTAGGTAAAATAGGTACGGAGGCCTTTCTGTTAAATAGTTCCCTGACATGATAGCTTACTAGGGTTGACAAAATTTTAGGCTTTAATAATGAGTTATATTTTTTTTACGGGATTTTTGTAACACGTTGTATAAATATACACAATATAGAAGTGTCTGTCTATAATAATGATACAACTGGCTTCTAAGTTTGGGGATTTAATTGAATGCTATTGAGACAAATAATGAAATAACTATTTTAAAGTTTTTTGTCCGTATGTCTCTCTGTCAGACAGAGAGACGTCTGTTTGTCTGGCTTCATATTGTCCGAAAAGTTAAACGTTCTTTTAGGAAAAAATAATAAATAATCAATCTTAATCAAAGAGCTAAGTAGTAGCTCTTTAATTATCTTAAATTGAAATAACGCCACATTAACCTATACAGGCGAAGCTGGGTCGTGATTTAAAACAGGATGGCTTCGCTAGTGTTATAACAATAAAAATATATAAATCCAGAAAGATGATTTTTTTTTATTTCAATCCGAAATTTTTCACATTTTTACACATTTCATTTCGTTTAACGTGAGCCTTATCCGACCTAGATAAGACCGCTAACATCTCACCACTAGTGGGTGAATTCGCAAACAGAAGCACGTGCCATTGTTGTATTTTCATTAAGAAAGAACAAACAGAGAATTAGTGGAGTGTGGCAACTTGTATACACCCTGCTTGCTTCTACTTTTGATGTGGCTTGTTTGTCTGTGTATCTATGACACAGTTGCTTTATCTTTCAACAGCAGTATTGCTTGTGGACTATAACAAAACAAAACAAAATATCGCTTAGGGGAGTAAGTGATTGAATTTTTACGCACGCTTTTGAAAATTTATATATTATTTAAATATACTTGACGTTATAGGATGACAACGTTTTATTTAATAGCGACAAATTGAGAGTTAAAACTAATTAATTACAATCAATATAACACATACCGACTTAAAAGGCAATTGTTACTTAATAGACAATAGATGTTTGGGATTCTAAAATTGATAGTGGTAAATAAAAAACGACTTTCAATAAATATTATGTAATAATCAATATTGAATAAAAAATCATTCTATTCTATTCTGATACTGGTATCCGAACGCATAACTATAGGCGCATACATTCAATTTTTAATCGAACATCTGTTTCAGAAAATCTATGGGAACGTATGGAGGTGTCCGCGTATTATCAAGTCAGTAGTTGTTTGACGAAAAATGATTGTATTTTAATTAACCAGTCGAACCAGCTATATGTATGTAACCATGTAGTAGGAGACGTATACGGTAGACTAAACAGTCGATTTGCGGTTACAAAAAGAAACAGATTAGGAGATGGGCAGTGGCGTCTTCCTAATAACAACTAAAAGCCAAAACTGCGGTTGCCAACCCGCTTGCCAAGCGTAGTATTTATGGCAAATATCCCCCTATGAAGTGATCTAGATCTAGACCGGCAACGCATCTGCAATTCCCCTGGTGTTGCAGTTATTCATGGGCGGCGGTAGTCACTTATCATTAGGTGAGCCGCATGCTCGTTTGCCCCTCTTCTATAAAAAAAAAAACAAAAAGAGGACTGTGTTCAACCGCAGACTTTTGATGGGCTGACAAGGTAACGTTACCACCGTTAAATTGACATGCTTTCTTTTTTAATTTTGTTTATAATAATGCATTACATAAAGCAAAACACAAGCGAGTACTTTATTATTTATCACGGAAGTTGTAATTATTAGGTATAATTGCGTGCCGCAAAATGGTCGACCGATAGACAAAATTAGTAAATCAATTACGTCTGGATCGACTGTATGCTGATCTATGTGTACCACCATCGACCAAAAAGTTTAATAGTCTTATAATCACAACAAGCTCACAATGGGACTAAACAGTTTGTATGCGGTATGTATTTAAGAAAATATTGATTCCAATAGTTGTGTCGTCACACTGAAATATATACATACTTTTTCTTTTTGATGCCGGCCAGAATAGTAAATAAACATTCTGATAATTAAAATTAAAAATGCCACAAAAAGATCTTTCAAATTTTAAAATTTTTTATAAGAAGTAGTAATTATGTTGTAACTAGGTCTTAAAATATTTAAAAAAATAGCATAATGGAAGATTTTTTGGATAAAATTAAAAAGAAACTTTCAGTGGACAACATCCTGGATCTTATGAAGGATGGAAAGTTGAAAGAAGAGATAAAGCAAACATTGACCGGTGAGATTAAAAATTGTGATTTTTAAATTTTTTGATCATTTTCTTTAATCATATCTTGATAAAATTTACAAAACATTCATTACAAATGGTACTTATAATAGAACTGGAATAACAAAAAATAATTAGTGAGAACAGATTATAAGTATTTTATAAAAATATAAGAATATTTTCATCATCATCATCATCATCATCATTACAGCGCTTCACAAGTAAACTGCTGAACATAGGGCCTCCTCCAAGGAATGTCACAAAGAATATTTTGGTATTACTTAATTCCAACTATAGTAAATAGTGTGTAATAAAGGCTTAAATTTTGCAGCTAAAATGAATCTTAATGAAAAGCCACGATTTGGTGAAGGGAAATCTTCAGAAGATTCTAGTAACTTGGACCCTAATTCTATTGAAATTGTACAACCAACTGTGACACCAGAACAAAGTAAGCCCGTTGTAGGGGAGCAACTAAACGATAAGACCGAAAGTAACAAAAACAATTTTAATGTCCTGCAAAAGCCTAATATTCAATCTAAAAATGAAAATACGGAATCTTTAAAAAAGTCAGAAGAAATATCATTTTACGACTAAATTAATGCAAGGTAGATCTATAAATGTTATTTTAATCAATGGAATAAATATTATAATTAGCAAATAATGTTTTATTTAATAATTTAAATATATAATTTAGGTGCATAGTGGCGGTGTATTAGAATCTATCATCACTTTTCGTTCGGAGGATGTAAAGGGCGCAAATAAAAAAGCAAAATAACGCTCAAAACCTCCGGTGTATGATGATATACTTTTTTATAGGTTAGATTTAAGCTATATTGTTAGTTTTTTTTTATAGGATAAGGGTGACAAACGAGCACACAATCCACCTGATGGTAAGTGGTTGTTGCAGCCCATAGACATCTACATCTATCCTCTGTTACAAATCAAAATGTAGATGCGTTGTCACCCGTGAGGACTAAGATGGAATGCCTCATTTCCAGTAAAAAGGGCCTCCGGCCACCTGCACTCACCACGCGAAACGCAGAGGTAAACCTCTACTTCACGCTGGTTTTCTGTGAGGTCGTGGTACTACCCCGGTTCGAGCCGGTCCATCCGTGCGACAGCAAAAGCTGCCGCGTGGCTCTACCACTGTTAATATGTTAGTTCCTTGAGAATACCTTTAATACCCAAACATGTAGGTTGCCGACTACTATCACTTTTAATATCAGTTTCTAAATCCATCTAAAACTAACAATAGATCTAAAGATGTTGGACGTGTCCATAACTCTTTAATTTTGTTTTATTTAAAGACACTTTTTATCTAAGATGCTACAATTCTGAATTACATTATGTAATATGTCGTTAATCTGCCGCGATGTCTATCAAATATAACGGAAAACAAATAAAGTTGTAAATAACAGGATGTAGTTTTAAATAATACCTTCTGTAATTTGAGTTAGGTGAAGTAAAATGTCACATTAGCGTAGCAGTTTGTGTTTGTGTAAGCTGAGCGAGCTATGGAGAGGGCTATGTATGGGGTTTCTCTGCGTGATAGACTTAGTGATGACGATATCCGCAGTAGAGCCAGAGTGACCGACACAGCCCAACAGAATAAAAGCTGAAGTGGCAATGGGCTGGCTATATAGCCCGAAGAACCGACAACCGATGGGGAAAAATGGTTCTCGTGTAGCAGCCTCGTACCGGTAGGCGAAGTGTAGGGTGACTCTCCACTAGATGGAGTGACGACCTGTTAAATCATGCAGGTGGGCGTTGGATGCAGGTGGCTCAGGACTATGCTTTGTGGCATTCCTTGGGGAAGGCCTATGTTCAGCAGTGGACTTGTGAAGGGCTGTAATGATATGATGATGAAGCTGTGTGAGGAAACAGTGTGTTAAAATTATCATTTACAGTTTTGATATCAGAGGTATAATTAACTTGAATACTATAGAGTACTTATTCAGGCAGCTTAATATAACCTTATCAAAAAATTAAGTACAGGGACTATTGTTGAAATGTTTGCTGTAATCGTCACGTCTGGCAGGTTAGTTTGTTAATTTGTTGTATGTATTGTTGTTGTTATTTTTATTAATAAGTTGTTGTTATTATTAAATTGTTGTATGTATGGAATATAAGAGACAACTCAAATACTTTGTACATTTAGTTATGACGAAGAGAGCAGCCCCTTAGTTGAACATGTTGGTTTCCATTGGTGTGGTCATTTGTTTACAAACTCGAAACTGATATACGTTATTCCATTTAGTAATGGCAAGTCTAAGTGCACTAAGTATAAATCGATGGGATATTTCGCGGCATCCTTTGTTGCTTTATTTGGATAAACTATTTAGAATAATTTCTTTTTGTATTTTGTTTTTTTTTTCACCAGCTAACAGAAGTCTCCTGCTGGATATGGACCTCTCCTTGCTTCAATCGTCACGCTTCACCAATGACATAGAAATTTTATATTTCAAAGTATAACGTCATCTATTAACCGCTATGAAGTCTTTTAATTTTTCACATAGTTGTCTTTTACGATATCCACGAAACTGAGTGATTCTCTTTCACCACCAAGGCTAAATTAAAGAATACTTAAAATATTGTATCTTGAAATACAGATCATCAATTGCCCTCTCAGCCCATTAGAGCCTTTGTGATTCCCTATAAATAAACGAATCATCATACTGATTGCTTATAGTCAGAAATACGTAAAGTACAAATTCAGTAGATAGATAAGAATACGTAGTAGAATTAGTGTAATATTATTACAAAAATGTACTCACATTGCCATGACGGCCCTCGCCTAGGAAAGTAATTGGTCGCATGCGCCCCCGCGGAAAATCTAGCAGGGGCGCCACTCCGTTTGGGGGCTCGGCTTCAGGTAGTTTGATGGAGGTGAAAAGACCCGGCACAGGTCTCTCACGGCGACCGTAGCGTTCCTCGGGGTAAGTCTGGTGTTAAAACAAACATAACATTAATACATGACTCCGTTTTTCTTATTTACCTAAATTAAAAGTGTATAAAGTTTGTTTTGTTTAAATATTATAGTTTTGATACACGTTTTCATTAATAGTCCAGCGTAAAGTATAACCAAAAAATCTTTTAAGCATTAATATAGCGTAAAATCTGTCGGAAAATGCTATTAATAAGTGTTAAACTTTATTGCTCACATTTTACTGCCTTGATTAGTCACAAAAGTTGACAGATTGTTCATTGCGAAAACTGTCAATATTTATGAGATTAAAATACAGTTTGGCTTCTCGATAGCTAAAACTTTATCATAAATTCACGACTCCATTATGTACGTACTAAAATACTCCGAATATATTTGGTTAGCGCTGCTATTGATCAATTCGATATTTGTCATCAATAACGGCCGATGATATAATATTTTATGTGTTGGTAAATAGTCTCACTTAATTGCAATTCCCCTTCATAAGATTGTGCCAGTATAATTTATAACATAGAAGAAGTTTGTGGCACAGCTCTTTGCTGCAATGCGTTAACTAGAACAAAAAATATTTTTTGTATTTTAGTAAGCGAAATATTGTGAAATATTTTAATTACATATTTCTTCAATTCAATTAAAATAATTTAAACATTCATTTGGAAAATTAGGATATATTTTATGTATTGCCTAAATGTAAAATTTATTAATTAGTTAATTCAAAGAAAATATTTTGATACTTGAATCTAAGCGTTGAAAAGCTCTAGTAAACATCAACAAAACACCAGTGGCTTTGCAAGCTTCTCACAATACCGACCCATACTCATTTATCATTTCTCCAACAGCCGCATAATACCCCTAATGAGTAAAATCCAAGCATACCTTAGGCAATACCATTAATATTACAAACCCGCCCTTTCCCCTTTATAGATGAGTAACTAACATGGGATAGTTTGCAGGTTGTTTGTAATGTTTTGCGGTTTTCATTTGATCCGACACAAGGATTATATTTTATAATTATAACATTATTCTCAGACGTTGGATGCTTTTACTAATGTAATGAAATATATATATTTTTAAATACAGACTTTAATGCTCAAACAATTTCGCACAACATATTTAGAACTGTAATTGCGATAAAAATTATTTTTATTGTACGAGTAACAACCCTTTATCACTTGGGACGTTATAAGAGCCCTAGATTGTACGTGGTTAAAAGTAAGACAAGCCGGTTCTTTATTTTAATATGCAAATAAAATAATATAATAAAATTATGCAATGGCTCATTTTGTATATTTACAAACGACATTTTTTCTTCCCTACTGAACGTCGTCGAAAGTAAAATTAGGTAACAAAAGCTTCATCAACAACGTCCGTTTTGTTTATAATAGACCGAAACTACAGAATAAATAATAGTACTACGTACCGAAACGCAGTTCTCCGCTTTGAAGCGGTACCACTGGTTAACGCGGTTGCGGTTGCGGTCCAATATTGTTTTAATGTCTCTCGAGACAAACAATGTGCAGTTTAATTGGCGATACACCTCTAGATCCAGCTTAGGAATATTTAGTATTAATTTCAATGATATATGTAGGTAAAGATGGGCGGGCATAGATGAGGAGAGGTCATTTTCAATACGAGTGAATCATAATTAAATCCGCAGTTTTCAGATACTCTGAGCCATTCATTAAAACGTAATATACATATGATGTAAATAGTGCAAAAATTGGCTATTGAATTTTGGAATGCTCAAAACAAGTGACTTTTTAGCTTATAACACAGTATTGTACCAGTTATCATATGTGGCTCAATCAATCTAAATTTTTCAATGGTCAATTTTTGGCTATGTAACCTTTTAAAATTTCTTTTACCAAAGAAATCGCTTCATTTTTGCATGGGTCTATGCGTACCCCACTGGGGTATACGTTGTCCTGGAATATTAGCCTATAAATATGTTCAACTACCGATAAGTTTATATTATACAGTATTCATTTATATGTGAGAATTGTCCGCTTTCTTACAGTCCACTTGACGTGTTTATTATAATTGTACTTGTTGTAATATATGGTTAGCTTATGCAACATAGTATCCACTAACAAAAAAAAAACAAACAGTAAGTCGATTGAGGATTAACAGTTAAAAAAGTATATATATATTTAAAAATGCTCTTGGTTTTTTTATACAACCCAAATATCTTCCACCTATAACGATATTAAGGAAAGCATAACGTTCAAGAAATACCTTCACTAAACTATACAATTTTATAACGACATTACTCTCCGTTTATCAAATACGACACCTTCGTAAGCTGAAGTTGAACCTTTGAAGCACCTAAGATGCATCCATTATCAAGTTAATAAAGTTATGTACATTAATTTTAACGAATTTTAATTTTAAACAATACTATACATTTCTTAAAATTTAAAGAACATTAATTTAAAAAAAATATCTGAGGTGCTAAGAACACCCCGCGCGGTAATCGCAGGTCACTACACACTACACAACACTACACCGTACACTACAGTCACTACAGTTTCAAGGTTTCAAGTCCATAAAGAATTTTAAACTGTCCAAAAATTAAAAGTACTTTATTTGAGTCCATAAAGAAGGCATAAAAGTACTTATGCGATACCGATCCATTATCCAATTCAGCACCGGTGTTACACCCTGCTTGGGGGTGGGTGCGAACAGGGTGTAACGGAACATGTGACATATTCACGCGACACTCGGGGGTACTTACTGTAGGTAGTGCTGTGGCTACATGGTGCCGTATGTTACAAGTAATGGAGAGCCCGCAAAAAGATGGCGATGTAAGCTCTAAAATGTCGTATAAAACAGAGAAGCTTCTGTACATAAAACGTTCTGCAGACTGGAATCGTTTTCTTTAGGTATATGTATTTTCATGACTCTTATCAGAGTGAGACTAGTCAGCCGAACTTAATATCTGATAAGTAATTGTAGTTTGACGATTCTTATAACTTTGGGGAAGATTAAAATTGCACATATAACAGAAAAAGCTAAATAAGAACGTGAAATAACGATAGGTAACTACTTTTGTCTTTTACGATTCAAAGTTGGCTTTGAATGGTTTCGACAAAGGAGTTATTTGAATACGAACAGGTTAAAGAAAAATACAATGACAAAATTCAAGTTGATTTTTCTTTTGATATTAGGTGTACGTATTTATATAAAGTAGTGCAATGCAATGCTTAATAATGCAAAAAGAATTCACAAACGACAAAGTAAGTAAACAAAGAAACACTCATTTCTTTTGTATTAGAATAGGAGAAAAGATCGCCACGCTGCTAATATTGAGTGTTTGCGTGTTTTACACAGGGCTCGAAATGTTTTTTTTTAATTTCTAAGACACAGAGGTCCTTCATGAACGTAAAGGGAAAGGAAAACCTTTTACCGTCGAGCAGATAAAACCTTGGACAAGCGTAAAATAGCAGCTTGACGCTGCTGTTTCCTATGGTGAGTGTAGAGAACCGGTGACCCTTTTTACTGGAAATGAGACATTCCATTCCATTTCCATCTTAATCCTCACGGGTGACAACGCATCTGCATTTTGATTCGTAATCGAACATAGATGTAGATGTCTATGGGCCACAGCAACCACTTACCATCAGGTGGACTGTGTGCTCGTTGGTCACCTTTAACGTATAAAAAAAGATGGTAAAAGGCACTAAAAATTGCAATTAATAGTGTGGTGAAAAAGGAATTTGGTTCGCTCATGTACTATGAAATTTTCAGACTATATTAACAAATCTATCTTGTTTATCGTAGCTATATTTTATCTAATATTTATGGGTATTTATGCACCCCAATCAGGCTAGAATATTATAAAGATGTGTAATAATAATGCAAAGAAGATAATATTTTTAGAAAGAAAATAATAATTGTTATCGGTTTTATTAATTATCATCAACCTATAAACAATAAAGTAGACATGTGTGACTTACAAAGTAGGTAGAATTTACCATATTCGCCTTAATTACGATAGTAAAACCCTTGTGACTTTGACTTGTGGTACATTCGGGTGGTTTAATTGTTGTTTAATCATCGTTCGTATCGTGTCGTGGTCTAAAGAATGAAAAAGTATAACCTATATGTTTCTCGTCGTCACTTCCGTATTCGAAACAAATTAGCTTATATTAAGGTTTAGAAACCATCTCCATGCCAAATATGAAAATCTATCCAGGAATATATATGTGAATCGTGAATACGTAGACAGATAGACAGATGAAAAAATATATGTAACAGTCACTTATTAGGTATGTCTACACTAGTCCGCTTTCCTTGTTCATCTTGCGTCTTCTTCTAACGCATGCCTGAGCAACCATAGCGCATGCAATAGCGCATGCTAAACTAGTTCGACTACAGCCCATGGCTCTAGCGAAAGCTGATCATTCACTGGTGGGTTCGCATGCAACATTTCGTACATTTTAGTAAACAAAATGGCGGAAGACAAAGTTATAACATTAGAATTTATTGATGATTATCGAACATATCAAGTATTGTGGCACCACAAGCACAAAGATTATACAAATAAAATAAAAAGAAACGGTGCGTTGATTTCTTGGAGCTAAAAATATAATTATGATGTAAATACAGTTAAAAACAAGATAAAAAGCTTGAGTTCATAGTTCTCAAAGGAACATCAAAAAGCTACGATGAAAAGGAGTGGGTCCTGAACAGAAGTAATTAAGAATCTTCGTGGTTTGTCTAACCGAGGTGAGTGAGGTAATAGACGAGTTGCATGCGATAAGTACATGCGTGTTATGGCACAGCGCTTGACGCAAGACGAATCGAAAATTGAAACGCAAAATTTTTCTTGCGGCTTTGCTCGTTTGTACATCGATTTACTAACATTTATAAAAACTAATGATCGTCTAGCGGTCGAAATTCATTACATTTTAAAGTTTGTATATTAAACAATAGCTGATACCCACTACTTCGTCCGCGTTGCTTGATATAAAGTTTTCGATTTTCTCCGGGGTAAGA